ATTATCCAGTACTTTTTACGGAGTCGAGACAGCATCTGATTCCTTCCTCCATGTCCAAGTTCTTCATGAATATGTCGTAACAATAGTGTGGATATGTGAAGATCCTTTGAGAGAATGTTCGGATGTTGGGGCTATTCAGGCATTGCTAATCGTTTCAAGCGACCACCCAGTCTCAGAAGTCCATGATCCAATATTGGATCCAGTTTGTACAGGCAACTGCTTCCTTTCACATTATGTTTACCAGCTTCTAGTAAAGATAGTTCTTCTTTGAACCGTTGCTTTTGACTGAAAGAAATGTCTGCATTTTCTGCTTGAACAAGATCTTCAGGACATAAACATTGTCCACGGAGTGTTCCTTTAAAGGCCTGTATCTTCCTTTCAACCTTTTCCTTTAATCTTCTAGGATCCTTTTCAGAGCCATTCACAGTAGTCTGAATCTCCTTTCTCCTTTGAATCAGCTCCAAGAGTGTCGTTTTTACTTTAAGAAGCCAGGCTACAGCCGTCTTCAGTTTTCTCCATGATGAGAAGTGGTTTATCAGAGAGTTTGTGGGGCTCAATGAATCTTTGACAATGACGTTCATTGTGATGTCCTGCTTGATTTCTGAATCATTACCAGATATTTCTGAATCCACATGAGAGTTTGGCCATTGTCTGTCTGGCTTGGAGAAAAAGCCGAAACCGATACCGAAAATAGGAAACAGTTGGCCGAAAACCGAATGCCGAAAATGATTAATAGAAATATATATATATATATAATGTATACATTTTTTACCAATGTTGTTCAGCTACCTGATTATGGAAAAACTTAACTTAAATAATAATCACTATTATGGGTCCATAAAACATTTATTCAGCACTTTTGAATGCATACAGTACATTCATTCCAAGTCAAGTGCATTTTATTTTCTCTGTAGGATAACTACAACAAAGTGCATTCAGAACAAAGCCAAGGTGTTTTAAAACTGCATAAACATCAAGGCCAGTAGGCCTACAACAAAATAGTGTAAATAAAGACTGTAACAGCCAGGCCTTCAACAACTACAAATGCACCTATAAGTGCGTGCATACAAATGTGCAAACTGGATAAATCCACATGAATGTAACTATAGTATTTACAAATGAAATTACAATTGAATTTCAAGAATCTGTAAATAAGGCTGTCTGTCCTCATAAGCAAAGTAGTAAACATTGTATAAAGATACATAAAGTGAAAACTGGATACAAAATCCACAATCAATTACAAATTAAATTACAATTTCAAGAATCTGCAAATAAGGTGGTCTGTCCTCATGAGCAATGAAAACAACATTGTATCATTTAGATACCGAAAGTACAATATATTGAACACTGTGCTGCTGTCATTTCCCCCTAATGATAACCTGAGATGGGGAATTATAACTCACAATGAAAATTGTTCAGGAAAGTGGGTATAGAGTAGACATGTAGAACTAGATAAGCTTATGATAAGCCTATGATAAGCCAGCCTTGTCTACTTATTAAGGAAAAGTGGGAGGTTCTTTTTAATGAACAGTAGCTTCTCTGCTTTATCAGCCATAAGTCTGTTCCTCTTCTCATCAAGCACATGAGAGGCAGCGCTGAACAATCTCTCGCTGGCAGTGCTTGTGCATGGAGCACTCAAATGCTTGCGTGCCACCTTGGCCAGGTCAGGAAAGCGGTCTTGTTTGTTTCTCCAGTATCCAAGAGGGTTCTCGCTTCTGGGGATGGGTACTTCTGAGAGATAATCATCGAACTGTTGAGCGGTTGAGCTTGTCACCAGCCTGGCATTTGAGAGGTTTGAGAGAATAAGATTGTATTTAAAATAGGGACAGTGCATAATGAACATTTAGTCACATTTATTTACGCATGCAGATCACTTGGCAGACAAATAAAATCATCTGACATGTCAAAAAAAATTACAAGATTAAGAGCATATTACATAGCAGCACATACAGTACTAATAAATATCACATTCAGTAGCACATAGTAAGTAACCAAGTCAGAACAGAGTAGCCTACCTATTTGGGGTAGTATTCTCTTCCATGATCTCGTTGAACATATCAGACAACAAGGGTGGTTGCCCCCTCTCCTCCTCTGCTGTAGACAGACGAGCCCTTTTTTCTGTGGTCTGCGTCACGTCTCCTGTGCTGTGCGCAGCAGCCTCCTCTCGTGGGTTATCCTTATCCAACACAGCCTGGATCATGTCTCGTGCGCTTTGCTTTTTCCCCGCATCAAAATAATGATCTTTATATCGCGGGTCAAGTACAGTCGCGATACAGTACAGGGGATCAGAGTAGATATCAGCAAAACGTGTGTTGACAGACTCCAAGAGTGTACTTTTCATAGTTTTTACTCCACGGGCCGTTTCAACCTCTTTCCTTAGAAGACGCTTTAGAGCCGCATGTAAAGGGATGACGTCTGCCACCGATGCGTCAGGTGAGCTAATCTCTCAGTTAGCTGTTCAAATGGGGCAAGAATGGAGAGAATGTTCTCCATTAAGATCCACTGTTTTGGAGTGAATGATGCGGGGAGATCATGATCTGCGCTGTATGTAGCCAAAGTTAGCTTTTGAGCAAAGAGGCTTTCCAGCATATAATAAGTACTGTTCCACCGTGTACTCACATCTTGTTGGAACCGTTTCGTTGTTACTCCAAGCTCATCTTGTATTGGCTCTATGCGAGAATAGGCCAGTCGAGAATGTTTGAAGTGACCAACAATCTTTCTGCTTACGGCCAACAGATCTTTTACGCTGCGTTGAGCCAACACTCCCTCGTTCACAGCTAATTGCAGAGTGTGGGCCATGCAGCGTATTCCACTCAGATTGCCTTCTTTCATTGCTTTAGTCATATTTCTTGCGTTTTCACTGACTATTGCGTGCACTTTAGGTCGGTCGATATGCCATGTGTCGAACATATTGGCGAATGCCAAGGAGATGGATTGTGCTGTATGAGACCCCCTAAACTCTTGTGAATGCATGACTTTTTTTTTCTGTGCGCTAGTGATTTGATCATACTCCGCATATTTGTCCGGGTGTTTTGATTTCGAGTGGTAGAGTAATCCCGAAGTGGTGAAAGTCTTTGCAGTTACGACCCGTCCACACAGCGGCGTGCGTTGAAGCTTCCAACGTTTCTGCCCATTCACTTTGAATGGGGTGACGTCACTTTTAGCCGAACTGCATCGTGGGAAGCGACGCGGAGCGTTGCTGGCGTGGCTCGCTGCAAAAGTTGAGCAATGTTCAACTTTTGACGCCTCGGCAGAAGCGTCAGCCAATCGAATCATATGCCAGTACAAGCTCTAGCCAATCAAACCGCTGCTTGTGTGTCAGGGGCGGGAGATTCATGTGATTGGTTGTTGGTCGAGTGTCAGACACGCCCGCCGGCAAGCGTCAACGCACGCCGCTGTGTGGACGGGCCTTACACCCCCTCGAGAAATGTCAGCTGAACACGTTTTACAAATCGCAATCCGCGCCTCTTTCTCTGATACTTTGAAATATCTCCAAGCGGCAGACATGTTGGCTGTGAGCCAGCCGCGTTTTGATTACGTCATCACAACAACACGTTAGGTTACCAACGTAACCCTATTCTATGACATTCGGTGATATTTTTTCGGTGCTAAAACCGCTGATATACCATTATTAATTGGCTAATGGGAATCAGGTGTGTAGTAGGGGAGGGTGCACAGCTGATTGCAGCAGGTGGAGGTTGAGCTGGGAGCCAGGAGTGACAGCCACCACGCCCACACAAACACAGACAGGGAAAACAAACACAAGGGAGGCGGCTGGCAGAGTACAGCCACCACATACAGTAATTCTGGATAATAAGATGGGAAAAATAAACGGGGTGCTCTCTTTTCCTCTCCCTCTCCTGACTCTCGTGCAGCTCGCTGAACCTGTAATAAGTGACCCGACAGTAAAGAATACACATATTTATACCTAGTATAGCTAGTTCCAGAGTAGATGAACTAGCCAAGTGTGTTAGATCTAACTCTCAGTGTATTTAATTTTGCTCCACTCAACGGTCCGCGGCGTAGCTGTTAAACCAAACACCTCACCTGCAATTTTCAAAAATATTGCTGAACCGAAACAAAATAATATTCAACCTGAACAATTATTTGAAATACTTATTTTCAATACATCATTGTATTTTTCAAAGTTCACGATAAAAACTTGAACTTTCAAATTAATTGTATGTTTTTGAATGATCAAAACGGATGACCCTGATATAGCTCCATAGATCTGTTAATGTGCAGCACCTGAATTATTAATTTAGAATTTTATATTAACAATAAGATTTTATATTTTAATAATACTAACAGAAATATACATTGTATTTAAAGTCACTTTACATCTCATAACATCTCTCTTTAGATATATAATATAATGTACAATAAGCAACAAAGCATAAGTAATACAGTCAAACATGATTTAAATCAACAATAAAATATGCAATTATTAATAGAACGCAATAACTTGCCAACACTGTTGGTGATTTATTCAGAATTCAAGGCACACTTAACCAGCATGGCTACCACAGCATTCTGCAGTAGCAGCCAAATATAAATCATATTCTGGATTTTTTAACACTTTTTTCTTTACTAGATAATTCGATATGTGTTCTTTTATAGTTTTGATGTCTTCAGTATAGAAAAAATTAAAATAAATAAAAAAACTTCGATGAGGTGTGTCCAAACTTTTGACTGGTAATAAACATAATGACATTAATCCATAAATTATTATTATTATTATAACCTTAATGAAATGTTATACCTACACACACACACACACACAACACACACACACCACACACACACACACACACACACACACACAAACACACCACACACACACACACACACACACACACACACACACACACACACACACACACACACACACACACACACACACACACACACCACACACACACACACACACACACACACACACACACACACACACACACACACACACACACACACACACACACACACACACACACCACACACACACACACACACCCACACACCACACACACACACACCACACACACACACACACACACACACCACACACACACACACACACTGTTCCCCGCCGATGCTTTTTTAAAATACTCAGAGATACACAAACTGTCTATTTGAGGTTTTTGAAAATGTCCATTTCTAAAACACGGGGGTCTCAGAAGCTCCGGTCTCTTTCTTAACGTTTTCCAGAATGTATACATATTTTCAGCCTCAGAAGAGAGAACAACATGATGCACCTCCATTACAAATAAACAACACATCAACAGTTGTAAAGACACATCCACAAGCAAATAGCAACATACAAATACCAGCACATTCACCTATAAAACTACAATACATGTTAATAAAAGCACCTGAATAATATAATTATATACAGGGACTTACGCAAAGAGTTTAAAACTAACAATCAGCCCTATCTTCAGTATTAGGTTCAGAAGAGTCTCCAGGGTTGTCCTCAGTCTCTGGTTGTAAATGTCTCTCTGGATCTGAGTTCCTGGCTGGTTCTGGTCCTCCACAGTCCTCTCAATCAGCTTCTGTTTTCATGTGTTCAGCTGAGCTGCTGGCCCGGAGGCTCTGCCTCTCTGTTTTCCTCAGTTTGAGTTTGATGAAGCTGTGAGGACTGACGACCAACACACGCATGGCTTTTGACCTGATGACTCCAAGTAAATCTTTTGTCACAAACACTGCAGATGAATGGTTTCTCTCCTGTGTGGATTCGCATGTGATCCTTTAAATGTCCTCTCTGTGCAAAATATTTCTTACAGACTGAGCAGCTGAATGGTTTCTCTCCTGTGTGTATTCTCATGTGTCGATGGAAATGTCCTCTCTGTTTAAAAGCTTTCTCACAGACTGAGCAGCTGAATGGTTTCTCTCCTGCACTACGTCTTGAATCACGGACAGGGTCTTGTTTATTTCTCTGAGAATTTGAACCTGGTTCTCTGGTCTCCTTCCAATCAGCCCTGTCTTCGGTGTCAGGTTCAGAAGAGTCTCCAGGATTGTCCTCAGTCTCTGGTTGTAAATGTCTCTCTGGATCTGAGTTCCTGGCTGGTTCTGGTCCTCCACAGTCCTCTCCATCAGCTTCTGTTTCCATGTGTTCAGCTGAGCTGCTGGCCGGAGGCTCTGCCTCTCTGTTCTCCTCAGTTTGAGTTTGATGAAGCTGTGAGGACTGACGACCAACACACTTATGTCTTTTGACCTGAGATCTCTGTGTGAATCTTTTGTCACAAACATTGCAGCTGTATGGTTTCTCTCCTGTGTGGACTCTCATGTGTCTATTTAAATCTCCACTCTGTGTAAAATATTTCAGACAAAATGAGCAGCTGTATGGTTTCTCTCCTGTGTGGTTTCTCATGTGGTGCTTTAAGCTTCTTCTATGTGTAAAAGTTTTCTTACAGACTGAGCAGATGAATGGTTTCTCTCCTGCACTACGTCTTGAATCACTGACAGGGTCTTGTTTATTTCTCTGAGAGTTTGAACCTGGTTCTCTGGTCTTCTTCCAATCAGCCCTGTCTTCAGTGTCAGATTCAGAAGAGTCTCCAGGGTCGTCCTCAGTCTCTGGTTGTAAATGTCTCTCTGGATCTGAGTTCCTGGCTGGTTCTGGTCCTCCACAGTCCTCTCCATCAGCTTCTGTTTGTCTTTGATGAAGCTGAGAGAACTGAGGTTTCTCTTCATCATCTTCACTCTTCACAGGGACAGGAGTGAATGTGGACTTTATGATATCAGCCTCCTCCAGCCCTTGAAGCTGCTCTCCCTCCTGACTGCTCCAGAGTTCCTCCTGTTCCTCTTTGATGTGTGGGGGGGGCTCTGGGTCCTCCTGGTCCAGACTGGAGCTCCACTCCTGCTGCTCAGGGGGAACCTCTTCTTTAACCACCACCAGCTGCTGGACGTCTGCAGGAAACAGGAAACACACAGTAAGAAAAAACTGTTCAGTATTACAATTTAAAATGTAATGACCATTACCAACATTAACATTTCAAATGCTTGCCTATCATTTTGCTAAGTCCCGCCCCCTTTGTATGTCTGTTGGCTCAATTGTCAGTCAATTACACCTTTGTGAATCAGATCTAATCCTGCATCGGATTAGATCTGCATTTACTGGCTGTATGAGCTGATGGTGCATTTTAGTGATTGTTTTTAAGGTAAAAGGGCGCTGCTATGGCAGAGCTCGCTGTGCCCTTCAATGTACTCGTAGCAAATAGGTAGGAATGGAGGAGCCAAATCTCAAATCCTGACTTTATTCACAAAATGTGGAGTTTCTTAAATTCTCAAAAATCCACTATTTTTCTCAAAATGTTGAAGTTGGAGTAATGAGGCTAATATTAAAAGTCAAAGTTAATTTAGTTGTTGCATTAAAATATCAAACACTGAGACCAGTGTCAGTGTAAGCTTGCTGACTGCCACTCGTCCACCGGCAGACATCGATCCCCTGTTGATGTACAATTAAATAAACGTAACACTAAGTAAGGAAATCTGTGTTTGGTAGATTATTTATTTGTCGTAACAATGCTTCTTGGCAATACATCTGATAACGTTGGAAAGCCTGTTTTCTTGCCGGAGAGTGGCTGCTGTTTGGCATTGGCAGAGGAGATTGGTCACATTTTTCATGCACCCCACATACTCAGTTATTGTTGTTACGATGTAATAAAGAGAGAGAATAAAGAGAGAGAGAATAAAGAGGGAACAGACCTGCTCTGTGGATCTGAAGCTGAGGCTGTAAAACAGCGTCCAGTAGTTTCCGGTGTCTCTCGTTCTCCTGTTTTGAACGAGACAGTTCCTCCTCGTACTCTGCTATCGTTTTTTCAAACAGAACAAAGATGTCTTCAGCAGCTGCAGTGAGTCGCTGCTTCACCAACGAGAGCAGCACAACACTCATGTTTACTAAATCACCACTTCCTGTTGAACACACTGTTTCTCTCTGAAGCTTCAGTCTCTGTTCAACACACTGTTTCTCTGAAGCTTCAGTCTCTGTTGAACACACTGTTTCTCTCTGAAGCTTCAGTCTCTGTTAAACACACTGTTTCTCTGAAGCTTCAGTCTCTGTTGAACACACTGTTTCTCTCTGAAGCTTCAGTCTCTGTTGAACACACTGTTTCTCTGAAGCTTCAGTCTCTGTTGAACACACTGTTTCTCTCTGAAGCTTCAGTCTCTGTTGAACACACTGTTTCTCTCTGAAGCTTCAGTCTCTGTTGAACACACTGTTTCTCTGAAGCTTCAGTCTCTGTTGAACACACTGTTTCTCTGAAGCTTCAGTCTCTGTTGAACACACTGTTTCTCTCTGAAGCTTCAGTCTCTGTTGAACACACTGTTTCTCTCTGAAGCTTCAGTCTCTGTTGAACACACTGTTTCTCTCTGAAGCTTCAGTCTCTGTTGAACACACTGTTTCTCTCTGAAGCTTCAGTCTCTGTTGAACACACTGTTTCTCTCTGAAGCTTCAGTCTCTGTTGAACACACTGTTTCTCTGAAGCTTCAGTCTCTGTTGAACACACTGTTTCTCTCTGAAGCTTCAGTCTCTGTTCAACACACTGTTTCTCTCTGAAGCTTCAGTCTCTGTTGAACACACTGTTTCTCTCTGAAGCTTCAGTCTCTGTTGAACACACTGTTTCTCTCTGAAGCTTCAGTCTCTGTTCAACACACTGTTTCTCTGAAGCTTCAGTCTCTGTTAAACACACTGTTTCTCTGAAGCTTCAGTCTCTGTTAAACACACTGTTTCTCTCTGAAGCTTCAGTCTCTGTTAAACACACTGTTTCTCTCTGAAGCTTCAGTCTCTGTTGAACACACTGTTTCTCTCTGAAGCTTCAGTCTCTGTTGAACACACTGTTTCTCTGAAGCTTCAGTCTCTGTGAACACACTGTTTCTCTCTGAAGCTTCAGTCTCTGTTAACACACTGTTTCTCTCTGAAGCTTCAGTCTCTGTTGAACACACTGTTTCTCTCTGAAGCTTCAGTCTCTGTTGAACACCACTGTTTCTCTCTGAAGCTTCAGTCTCTGTTGAACACACTGTTTCTCTCTGAAGCTTCAGTCTCTGTTGAACACACTGTTTCTCTCTGAAGCTTCAGTCTCTGTTGAACACACTGTTTCTCTCTGAAGCTTCAGTCTCTGTTAAACACACTGTTTCTCTCTGAAGCTTCAGTCTCTGTTAACACACTGTTTCTCTCTGAAGCTTCAGTCTCTGTTGAACACACTTGTTTCTCTCTGAAGCTTCAGTCTCTGTTGAACACACTGTTTCTCTGAAGCTTCAGTCTCTGTTGAACACACTGTTTCTCTCTGAAGCTTCAGTCTCTGTTGAACACACTGTTTCTCTCTGAAGCTTCAGTCTCTGTTGAACACACTGTTTCTCTCTGAAGCTTCAGTCTCTGTTGAACACACTGTTTCTCTGAAGCTTCAGTCTCTGTTGAACACACTGTTTCTCTCTGAAGCTTCAGTCTCTGTTGAACACACTGTTTCTCTCTGAAGCTTCAGTCTCTGTTAAACACACTGTTTCTCTGAAGCTTCAGTCTCTGTTGAACACACTGTTTCTCTGAAGCTTCCTGAGCTGCTGTTCAGCTGGACGGCAGGAAGCGGAGGTTTGGGAGGATGATGTCCCTGATGCTGTTTAGATTCCTCCAGCACCACGGGGGGGTCCTGTGTGGATGGCAGCTCCTTCCTCAGCAGATCCAGTTCTCCAGAATTGTCCTAATCACAGAGAAACAAGAGAAAAATAACAACATGTATTCATCTTATTAACAAATGGTGAATGCATTTAAAAATGTCTATATCTATACAAAATATCAAGATGCTGATTAGACAGCATGATTATTGCACAGGTGTGCCTTAGGCTGGCCACAATAAAAGGCCACTCTGAAACGTGCAGTTTTGCTTTATTGGGGGGGTCTGGGGGGGTCCGAAAACCAGTCAGTATCTGGTGTGAGGGGTAGGATTAGGGTTAGGGTTAGGGTAATGTTGTGAATCGAGTGGCCCATGGTGGTGGTGGGGTTATGGTATGGGCAGACGTATGTTATGGACGACGAACATAGGCCACTCGATTCACAACATTACCCTAACCCTAACCCTACCCCTCACACCAGATACTGACTGGTTTTCGGACCCCCCCAATAAAGCAAAACTGCACGTTTCAGAGTGGCCTTTTATTGTGGCCAGCCTAAGGCACACCTGTGCAATAATCATGCTGTCTAATCAGCATCTTGATATGCCACACCTGTGAGGTGGGATGGATTATCTCGGCAAAGGAGAAGTGCTCACTATCACAGATTCTTTCAGATTTGTGAACAAGATTTGAGAGAAATGGTTATTTTGTGTTTATAGAAAATGTTTTAGATCTTTGAGTTCATCTCATGAGAAATGGGAGCAAAAACAAAAGTGTTGCGTTTATATTTTTGTTCAGTGTATATAGCCTCATCATATAGTGGAGTTCTTGCAGAGGTACGACTTGAAGTGTAATTATTCTAAGTCATTCCATCTGAAACTACAGAGTAGAGGTTTGTGCACTTTTCTGACACACGATGAGTGCTCCTGACAAAACAAGATAATCCAGATAAAAAGATTATTGTGCTGCATTCTGTTTCGCATTATGCTCTCGTTTTGTCTTGGGTTGTAAATTCAGCGTACCTCTTTCCTTTGCAGTGGTATGCTTTAGCTCCTCCCTAAAAGCCCAAACTCACTGTAGCGTCACAAACTCCCTATGAGTTATGCCGCTGAGAGGCTAAAATGTGCTCTTTGATGTGACACGTTCCATGTAAGAATCTGTAGTAATTTGTAGTCCATAGTGTTCAATAAAGACGAAAACAAACAATATAGAACTCCAGAGCACCATTCACCCTCTTCCTACATCATATCCTAAATACCAATAAACCACACACACCTGAGTATTGCCAGAAGTGATAAACAATAAGAATTCAACGTGATGCAAACAGAAATTAAGATAATAATATAAGTAATAAGTAATGGCAAGACAAGCATTTTAGCTTCTACATTCCAGCCACTAATTATTATATAACAAATTATAATAATTATTCAAAACAAATTATAATAAAACACTGTATATTCCAATGATATAATCTTTTTTTAAATCCAGTATTCATATATCAGTATACAAGAAATCAAGTCTGCTGTGTGTAGTATTGTGAGTGCAGGGGGCAAACATTGTCACTGTATGCAGGGGGCAAGGAGCAAGGTAACAAATAATTTAGACTTGGCAAAAGTTTCTCTGCTTCATGACAAAGGCTGAGGGGTCAGTTCAGAAAGCCAATATGTGTCTTCATCTGAATCACAAGTCCTTTTGTACTTGCCCTCAATCGTAAGGCTTTACAGAGGGTGGTGAAAACGTTACAGAACATCACCAGGACGGAGCTGCCATCCATGGAGGATCTTTACTCCCAGCGGCTCAGGAAGAAAGCCCTCCGGATTATAAAAGACCCCCATTCCCCCAGCCACAAACTGATCCGTCTGCTGCCATCTGGCAGGCGTTACCGCAGGATCCGGACTAAAACCACCAGACTCAGGGACAGTTTCATCCCACAGGCCATAAGACTGTTAAACACCTGAACTTTTGAAAGAAAAAATACATTACATTCATCTGTTTGCAACTCACATTTATCATATCTATATTCCAATTACTGTATGTGGGGGAAACTTAGAAATGTAGGTATAAACTCCGTAGAGCAATTAGCAGTGCAAAGAGACAATATAGAGACAAAGTGGTGTCTGACTTCAAAGGCTGTAACACCCGGAACATGTGGGCGGGACTAAGAACAATGACAGATTACAAAGGAGCAGCGGGGGGTACTGCGGGACTGTCTGCATGCGCATCTCTCCCAGATGAGCTGCACATTTGTTTTGCTCGAATAGAGAGCAGCCAGGCTGTGGAAGCACATGAAGCCCGGGAGCCCTGCCCTTTTGTTTTAGACAGGGCAGATTTGTGCAAATCCTTTAAAAGAGTTAACCCACACACCTGGACCTAATGGCATCCCTGGCCGTGTGCTCAGGGTGTGTACAGTTCAGCTGGCAGAGGTGTTCACAGACATCTTCAACAGGTCCCTGCTGCGGTCTGTAGTCCCCACATGCTTGCACTATATTTTTTCTGTTTATCTGTGTTTTGTGTTGCACTGTTGGAGAAGCCTGTGACCTAAGATTTTCATCGGAATAACTACACTGTAGCTATGTTCGTATGACTAAATAAAGAACCTTGAACCTTCTTTCCTTGTCCTTTTCCAATCTAATGTGATTGGTCCTTCGAATTGTTTGGCATATTTTAAGACTTCTTGATAGGCCTACTCTGGATCTTAAGCCATGAAAAGTAAATTTGCTATTTCTGTTTCCAATATTTAACACACTGTCCACTCCATCCTCATAAAGCGGAAGTGGCCGCCCTGATGGTTTTATCCGGGAACCAGTAATGTCAAAATGCTTGTTTTGCCATTACTTATTACTTCTATTATTATCTTCATTGGTTGTCCAAACTACGACCCGGGGGCCAAATGCGGCCAGAGGGCCATTTTAAATCGGCTCTCAGCTAATTTAAAAAGTACAATGAAATATGGCCCACAAATTAAAGTTGTGCATGTCTTATATTGTACTTATTAAACATATATGTGTTAATAAGCCCACATCTTCTAGCAAATCTAAGTTGATAAGAAAAAAAGCTCAATAACTTATTTACATAACATATGAATTCCCTCGAAGCACAGGCAGACACAAGTGGCTTTCTCATAACAACAATAACGGGTTTATTCCTCTTCGAATCCACCGTGAAAACTACACAAACAAACAGTATAAATGACAAACATAGTTTTGGGTTAGACACACAATAACATGCACAGCATGTGAGATGACTAGCAAGGTATTAAACATAAAAATAATACAAACACAACAACATACCTCGTTGGGCTGCATGCTCTGAAAACAGAGGGAAGTATTCTTCAGTTCTGTTCACTTATATGTATAAGAATACAAAACTAACGGCGCTGTAAGTATCCG